AGACGGTACTCGTCTGCGAACCATGAATTTGTAGGTCGAGTAACCGCCGACGAGGGCGAACACTGCGATGATGGAGATGAACCGTGCATATCCCTGAACCTCGAATAAATATCCCAGACGAAGACTGAATTACTGTTGTGTTTCCCTGGTACATGTTCGTTCATACCTATCAACCCCGTCAATTTCTTTCTCCCTACCGTTGTGAAGGTATTGAGTACTTCTGGGACGGATTTGTTCTTATCGTGTAGTATATTTGCTAATTCTTTCCAATGCCGATGGGGTCTCCGTTCTGCTCAGGCACCATATCCGCCTCCAAGCTTCAGGTTCGAACTTCGGTCATCAATTATAACCTGGTCAGAATGGGTTTCAAGTCTCTGTGTTCATCCTTCAATCATCCCGTATCGCATAAGTTCGACCTCTTTGCTCTCTAAACTCAAGAAATAATCTAATCAATTCCATAAAGCATTGACTGTGCTATTGGCAGGAGGTCTCGTGGCACTTCATGGCAGAAAGTCAGGTTCGCAATACACGAAGTCAACTGGGTCTTCAATGGCTGAAGGACGTCGTCAATGGACTCAGCAATTCTCGAAATGAATTATATTCTCCCTTTTCTTATCTCCTGTATTCAAATACCGCTCCTTCTGACTCGGAGATAGCACTTATACGCAAATTCATCGCCGCTACTCAACTCGAGTTGACCTTTACCAATGTGGACTCGAAAAGGAACATCCAACAAGATACTCTAGCTCGATATACCGCCTTCGTTCGTGTTCACGATGCGATACTATCCCCCATTCGTAAGATACCTTCAGAATTGCTGGAGAAGATATTTCGACACTATGCAACATCTATTATCCAGTGGCAACATGTCAGTCGGATACAGTTACCCTGGGTTTTATCTCAGGTTTGCCAGAGATGGAGAGCAATCGTGTTGAGAGTACCCTCCTTGTGGAGTCATGTTCCGGCGATACATCTTCTCGACAAACGAAGGAAAACGCAGACTACAATAAAGTATCTCAACGAACTTTTTGCACGCTCGCGCGACGCGCCTCTTACTTTCAATATCTACGCCCCACGCCAAGAATACGATACCCACCCAGTGCTCGATGTCCTGGTGCATCATTCTGAAAGGTGGCAGGTTCTGACCATTGAGTCAAGCTGCATCACTATCAACGCTTTGCAGAGATCGAGAGGGCGACTTTCCTCCCTCCACACGCTGACCTTGGACATAGGGCGGTTTCCCGGAACATCCGTCATTGATATTTTCAAGGACGCGCCGAGGCTTCGGGAGGTGAATATAACTGGGCATTACCCGCATGCTTTATTCCTCCCATGGTCCCAATTGACACGGTACAGAGAGGTGGTATTGACCAGAGGCGGAAGAAATGAGGTGTACTCGGCCTCGCATCTAGAAATCCTTGTTCTCTCCATTGCATGCGACACCACCATAATTCCTGTGACTACCCTCTGTCATCTCAAAATCCTGAGGATTACATGGTCGCATACTATGCTCGATGTAGAGCCTTTCTTTCAAAATCTCACTCTGCCGGCTATCAGAGAAATACTAATTGGTTGTCTCCATCTAATATCATTTCAGAGCTTCGTTCTATGATCCTTCGATCGGACACGCCCTGTATGTTGCAGAAGTTGGGCGTCAGAACAGCCTTTCGGGACGGAACACCGTTGAAGGACCTCCTAGTATTAATACCACACCTCATAGAACTGGACATCGCAATGCCTAACCTCCCAGACCTTTTGGATCTCTGCGTTGACAGGTCAGGTCTAGCGCTCGTGCCCTCTCTGCAAATTCTCATAATCCACTATGGTGACGTTGAAGTGCTAAGAAGCGGAGAAGCGACGCTTCTTGCCCTCGCTCGTTCTCGCTTCAGGTCGGTCGATGTTATTGAAATGAGCAATCGAAAACCGCTGGAGACTTTTCGCATTGTTTTCCCCTATTCAATAAATTATCCAAAGATTTGCTTAGCAACAGCAGCCCAGGCCGTCCTTGGACATTGGGCATCTGATCTGCAGCCGCGTTCCGACCAACTTTTCCGACTGGAATTCTGGCGAATAACGCTTCACAGAGAGTTGCCGGAGCTCGACTCGCCATGGGACCCTCGAAAAAGAGCATTCAATAAATCATTCTCGAAGCGAATGGACAGATTGATAGGCGCCATCGAAAAGTACGAGATGGAAGATGTGAAGAACATCTATGTGCGTAAAGTGCTGCGCTATGATGGTTTATTTCGTTAGCTTACCATCCAAACGCAAATAGGTTTCGCGTCTGCACTTTTCTCTCCGACAGCTCAGCCAGTTACGCCCGGATTATATCCCGGGGGATAGCAAGCGCTGCTTTCGAGAACGGGCGACAGGGATCTTGGAGAAATGGAATGTTCTGATACTGCAAGATCTCGCCAAACGTCGACTCGAATGGGCTCTCAAAGGAAAGAGGTCCCTAATATATATTCCGAAGGATGATCGTAAGCAGCAAATTGCGAGTTCTTCGCCTCCATAGATGCTGACACAAACACTGGCGATTCAGCGCTGCATACATCGCCCGAAGCTCTCGGGATGGTGTATGGCCTAGAAGACGACATGCACGAGGTAGACTTGTCGTGGTCATCATGTTTGGGATTGATTTTGACTGCCAACACGAGTACCCATGACCATATGTACGTTGTCCTCAAGCCCCGTGAAGGCATTCCCGCTGCGAAGTGATAGGGGTTAGTATACTGTGTCTCTCGTCGACGCTGCTGCTTCTCGTTATTCTCTGCTTCTGCTTTCCATTACTCTACTCTATGTAGTCCTGCCTTGCTTTCGGTTCTCATTGTATTATTAGAGATTACATACTCGTACATACACATGTCCTGTGCCTATGTTTTTTCTAACGATGTCTAAGTACTCTCTCGCGTATGTAGCGTTCGTTATTGTTGTTGTTGGTAATGATTATTAGTGCGTCGGGATAATTTGCATGTGATGAAAGTGCTCGAATTGAATGCGCAGCAATTGAAGAAAGCCCGGTAAGAAAGATACGTGAAGAACGAGTTGATCTAGAAAGCGAGCAGCAACGGCAAAGGGGTGGTGTGGAGTGTCATCTGTGGATCATGAATTTGTAGGTCGAGTAGCCGCCGACGAGGGCGAACGCTGCTAGGCACGCAATGATAGAGATGAACCACGCATATTCCCAAGCCCCAATAAGCACCCACAAAAAAGCCTCAAACAAAAATCACCCACCGCAGTTTCCTGTCGGCACATGTAGATTCATACCCCACAACCCCGTAATCAAATTCATCGGAATCAACACCGTACCCAACGCCCACAACTTGCTCAAGACATCGTTGATCTGGTTGTTCGCGTCGGTCATCTCTCATTCTCTGATGTCTTGAACGATTATATATGATGATGATGATGATGGTCGTCATGACTTTGACGTTCTTACTTTCATACCTTCCTTCTTCTTTCTTGGAAATCACCAACGACAATTATTTAGCCATTTTTATTATCCTCTCTTCGCTCTCCGCTCTCCATCTGTACCATTACCTTATATTCCGTCCATCCGCTTGCAGCATCCCGTAGGCTGTGATATCTTACCCTCCGTATTTTCCTTGGCATCTATTACTTTGTACCTCCGTCGCATGCATCTATTTATATCACACTATTGACGGGAGCAGAATTGACTCGGTGAATTGGGGCGATGAAGCTTGGTTATAATATCGGGAGATTGGTGATGTGGAGGTCGCGTGTTAGACGTTTTGCATCGGATTTCTTCCGTTTGCTAACGGAGGTTGATTATGCTGTGTAGCCGAGATATCGAGAACGTCGTCAGTCCCTAAAAACGCCTAGAAGGGCAAACAACACCGCGACAATACCCTATGTCTCTCGACCTTCGACTCAGCCATGTCTGTAAAGCTATGTATAACTTCAGGGCACAACTTGATTTGACTTAGGCGCTCAATGGCTGATATCAAAACCTGCTCACTAGGCTCGGAACGCTCTCTTCGCGTCTGATGACTCCCCAGTTTAGAACGCAACTCACTGTGAACTTGCAGTCAGACAGCCATGCTTGGGATATCAGCCAGTAATTGCTGCGCCAACAGCCCAATGAGTGGACCACAGCTAGAGCAAGCTCGAAATAGACGATATGTCCATCACTGTCAGCGCTTTCACTGCGGACGCACAGAGTAAGTCACGGCGAAACTGCACTGCGCATCAAATACCCCGTACTAGGCGTATATATAGCATACCACCACCACTGGACTCCCCAACGACTAACCAACGCCAATGAAGATCTACTCCTTATCCATACTTCGCGTCCCTCCAACCGATGTGACTTCCTCCGTCCTCTTGAGTAACGCTACCGAATTGTCGTCGTACAGCTTCTACCAACGGGGCTCGGTGGGGGAGTTCATGACTCTCATCACCAAGACCGTCGCAGAAAGGACGCCCCGCGGTCAACGACAGAGTGTACGAGAACGGGGATATGTGGCGCATGTGTATAATCACGGAGGCGACGACGGACTAGCTGGTAGGCTTGCCTTACATAAATCCGGCACTCTAATAATTGTCTTTTCAGCTGTAATTATCACCGACGAGGAGTACCCCGCCAGAGCAGCGTTTTCCGTGCTGACGAAGCTCCTCGATGAATTCAGCGCAAAAGTACCGCAAGGTATCAATACATCTACACCCTCGTCGACCTTGTTTCCGGAGATCAGCACGTACCTACAGAGATATCAAGACCCGCGTCAAGCAGATACGATCATGAGGGTACAGCAAGAGTTGGACGAGACCAAGATAGTGCTGCATAAAACCATAGAGTCGGTGCTACAGCGCGGGGAGAAACTGGATGACCTGGTTGAGCGGTCTGGGGCGCTGTCGACGCAGACGAAGCTGTTCTACCGAACGACGAAAAATGTGAGTCCAGGGCGAATGAAGTAACAGCTTGCACTGATGCATGAACGACAGCAGAATGCGTGTTGTGTAATGATGTAAAAGCAAAAAGAAACCCCTGGCGAGACTCGAACTCGCAACCTCCAGATAAGCTAATGGCTTAGAAGTCTGACGTCATAACCATTAGACAACAGGGGCTATGACAAACACCGCTCTGGGCCAGTTATAGCACACAGCGGCAAACACGGCCTGATGTGGGAGTGTGTTTTCCGTTCTGTGTCTTTTGCACAACGGCGATGGCCTCTAGCGCGATGAGCAGCTCTCCTGTGTCGATCCGGGATGTGTCTCCTGACCGACGCCGCAGCCTCTCTCCCAGCGAACTCAGCGATGCCACTGCCAACAATACTCGCCCCCCACGGCACTCGCCCACCCTCACCCGCTCATATGACCCCAACGACCCCCAGGTCCGCGAGCGTCAGCGCACAATGGACGTAGACATGGCCATGCAGCTCTCCCGCGCACGGCGAGAGACAGAGTCCATCAACGCCAGCCCCGTAGCCAACTTTGCCAGCCCCAACCCCGTAGCTGCGTCGTCGCCGTATGATGAGATGGCGAGACAACAACAGACGACGAGCGCCGAGCACTCGTTCACGCCGCTGAGTGTGCGTGAGGAGCTTGATATCGACGATGAGACGGTCCGCGGCGGGATATACGGGAACGAGCACGAGCACGAAGGCAGCGTCGACGGCGACACCCTCGCGCCGCATTCACATTCGTCGCAGCCTCTGCTACCGCCCCACCTCCTCAACCCGCCCGAGATCCTCGATCCCAACGCGGGCAACTATGGTTTGCCGACCTACCAAGCCAACGTCTCGCAGGCCCATTTCGACTTTTCTCGCATGGAGGAATTCGCAGTCGCCGAAAAAGCACGGCTGGGGATCAACTCGCCCATCAACGCCCGGTTCTCTCTTAGCGGCCTCAGGGGCCGTGCTAAACCCAACAACAACAACGCAGTCCCCTCCGGATCCACCCTCGCTCCGTCAGATGCCGATGCAGAATTAGCAGCAGCAGCAGCCTCATCCGCCAATGCAACAGCGGGAGACCCTCTCGTCCCGGGGCAAGACGACGACCACGCCTCCCAGCGACCCTTGCGCCACCGCAAGCTCTCCCAGTCCAACCCCCACCCACGCTCGCACCGCAAAGGCATCGGCGGCAAAATGGCCCTCTTCGAATCAACCACCAACGACACACCCTCCTTCTCCGCCCGCCTCGGTCTCTCCCTCTCCTCAAACTCCCACCCACCCTTGACTGGGGGCGGGGTGCACATGCCTTCGGGGCCGGAGTACGATCATATCGCGGGTATACCGAGCACGGCGGGGTTAGGTGGTGGTGGTGGGGGAGGGATATTGAACACGGGGCATGATAGACCGTATCGGTTCTCGTTCTATTCGAATGCGTTGAGCGCGACTATTCATGCGCGGAGTCTGAGTGAGCTGCCGGCGGAGGGACAGACGTTTGAGCAGTTGTTCTCGGGGGTGCAGCCTTCTCAGGTGCCGCGTCAGGCGCCGCCTGGGATGGAGAGTCGGCCGCCGTCGGCGATGGCGTTCTCGCCGCCTTATCAGGAGACGATGAAGCCCACGGGCAACAACGCCTCCTCCGAAACCTCCTCCTCCTACTTCCCCCCCTCCTCCGCCAACCCCAACCGCCGCTCCCTAATCCCCGAAAAACCCCAAAACGGCCTCAACCTCCCACACACCCCCTCCCCCTCCGACCCCACCACCTGGTGGCTCGACGTCCAGTCCCCGACCGACGAAGAGATGAAGATGCTCTCCAAGGTGTTCAGCATCCACCCCCTCACGACGGAGGACATCCTGATGGAGGAGACGAGGGAGAAGATTGAGCTGTTCCGGAATTATTATTTGGTTTGTTTTAGAAGCTTTGATCAGGATGTGTATAGTCCGACGCATTTGGAGCCGTTGAATATGTATATTATCGTTTTTCGGGAGGGGACGCTTTCCGTACGTCTCTTCCTTTTTATTTTCTCAGGTGGAAGAGAAGAGGAAGCTGATGATGGGAACAGTTCCATTTCCGCCCCACCCCCCACCCCCAAAACGTCCGCCGCCGCATCACCCAACTCAAAGACTACATCTCCTGCACCTCCGACTGGATCTCCTACGCCCTCATCGACGACATCACCGACGCATTCGGGCCGCTCATCCAGGGCATCGAGTATGAGGTCGACTCCATCGATGAGCTGGTCCTGATATTGAAGGAGGCGGAGCAGAGCGATATGTTGCGGAGGATTGGGACGTGTAGGAAGAAGGTGATGGGGCTGTTGAGGTTGATGGGGAATAAGGCGGATGTGGTGAAGGGGTTGGCGAAGAGGTGTAATGAGAATTGGAGGGTGGCGCCGACGAGTGATATTGTGTGTTTCTTTCTTCCTTCTTTTCCTTTTTCTTTCCCTTTCTCTGTTTCTTTAAATATATGCTGATGGGGTTTGTAGGGCCTGTACCTATCAGATATCCAAGACCATCTCATAACAATGACCCAAAACCTCAACCACTACGAAAAGATCCTCTCCCGCTCACACTCCAATTACCTGGCGCAGATCTCCATCGAGATGACCGACGCGAACAACCAAATCAACGATGTGTTGAGCAAGTTGACTGCGTTGGGTACGGTGCTGATTCCGATGAATTTGGTTACTGGTACGTGCTCTTTCTATTCACGCGAATTGGAGGGCAGGAATTGATGGGTTTGGTAGGGTTGTGGGGTATGAATGTGCATGTGCCGGGGCAAGAAACTGCTGTGAGTGTTACTTGTGTCTTTTGGAGGCAATGGTGCTTATGGTCGGGTAGGGATATGCGTGGTTCATCTCTATCATTGCATGCCTAGCGGCGTTCGCCCTCGTCGGCGGCTACTCGACCTACAAATTCATGGTCCGCAGATAACACCCCACACTACCTCTTTTGGTTTGCCGCTCGCTCTCTAGATTAACGCTCTTGTGTACCTTTCTTACGGGCTTTTCTCAATCGCTGCGCTTACAAACACTTTCAATTCGAACACTTCCATCACATGCAAATTATCCAATTCCATGACCCACTAATAATCTTAACAACAACCACAATAGCAAACGTTACATACGCGAGAGAGAGTACTTAGACATCGTTAGAAAACCATAGGCCCAGAACGTATATGTATGTATGTAATTTCATATGGTAAAGTTCTGGTAGAGTAATGAAAAACAGAAATCCAGAAAAGCACGAGATTCAGCATTGACGAGAGACAGTCAGAACGGAAACCCCTTACCAGCACCTCACTCTCTTGATCAATCCGCTCTCCTCATGTTCTTTCTTAACGGGCTTTTTCAAATCGCGCTGCATACAAACACTTTCTCTTGCATCACATGCAAATTATCCATTTCCATGACCTAATGATGATAACCGTTAACAACAACAACAACAGCGAACGTGTAAGTATTTTTGTATGTATGTAATCTCTACTGACACAAGGAGAACCAAAAGCAAGGCAGGAGTACATAGAGTAGAGTAAGGAAAGGCAGAAGCAGAGAAGAACGAGAAGCAGCAGCCTCGACGAGAGACACAGTTATATAACGGAGACCCAGAGACATTGGAAAGAATTAGCAAATATACTACACGATAAGAACAAATCCATCCCAGAAATACTCAGGACCTCTACAACGGTAGGGAGAAAGAAATTGACGGGGTTGATAGGATTGTGGGGTATGAACGAACACGTACCAGGGCAGGAAACACAACAGTAATTAAGTCTTCGTCTTTTTCTGGGATACTTATCGAGGTTCAGGGATATGCACGGTTCATCTCCATCATCGCAGCGATCGCCGTTGTCGGCGGTTACTCGACCTACAAATTCATGGTCCGCAGACAAGACCTTACCATCGTCACCTTGCTCTCTAGATATATCGCTCTTTATGTAACTCGACGCGTCGTGCAAATGCACTTTGGAAATGCCCTCTTACGTGACCACGGTGCGCCCAAGTTCATTTTGAAATATCTCCTTCGATGTGTAGTCCTTGTGTAGTCCAATCTTGTGCACCGTCATATTCTCAAGGTCTAAAATCCTGTCGGCGAGTAGTTGCTTGCGTTCTGGCACTCAGTTACTGGACGCCGAATGCCTGGATCTGTTTATACTCGAGTAGTTATCAATGTGAACTTCTAAAGGGATATGCCACAGCCTTCGTGAACATGTCAATTGCGACTCATCGATTGACACCAAATACGCAATGTTTCTGGGAGCAACATATCAAGTACTCACCCCGGACGGCTCTGATTCGCGCTCAAGGATCTACCTAGACGTTTCTAGAAGGTCCGTGGCCATTTCCTTCTGCAAACGTCCTCCTCCCCCGAGCTAGGAGGTTTCCCAATACCTTCCCTATGGTGTCGTACCGCAGGCAGCCATTTGCAATGCACAGGCCTGTGGGGATAAAGGACAGTCCAAGCAGGCCGCGCACCCCCGATCCCATGATTGAATTATACATTATTTATTTCTCTTCAGCACTACTTGTGATGTAGGAGCTAGAGCACTAAGCTGAAGGATCTGTCTAGATCTGTGTTTACTGCCGTTTTCTGCGACAGCTGCCTTCAGCCTATACATGCCAACATACCTCCGCTATTCTTGCAGTGATTGGCTCCCCGTTGTTTGATAAGTCCTCGTGGTTCAATTCACTGAATCAATACTGGTTAGTCACTACCACCAGCTGACTGTACTCTGGACCTGGCTCGTTCATGACCTTGGGTTCAGGTTGCAAATTTCTCTTCAGTGTTCCTTATCAGACCCAAGTTCCTAATCCTGTGTCGGGCGGGCAATGCACCAAGGAAATGATAGTCTCTATGACTGTTATTCATAAATGTCCACATACAATGGTCAAACAATGGTGTGTTATTTTGTATAGAACATTGTCAGTTGACTGCTGTCTCATGTTCATTTTGCGGGACGTTTTACAGCGTGTTTTCTATCACATTGGCATGTGTATGTGTAAATAGAGACGGTATCAAGCTACAGCATTCAGAAATCTGAATTGCAATCCAAAATTGGCGCTTGTCGCTCAAATTACTAGCTCGGTGGCAATGTTTCCTGTACCTCCACGTTAAGCGCCCATCCAGAAAAGCTCTGATTAAACCTTAATGTAGGATGGCCAATCCCCCTTCAGCCTCCAT